AAAAAAAAAAAAGTATACAATTCCATCATTATTATGTAGCATTTTAAATAGTTACATGTTTCACCCATCAGGCCATGAATTATTAACAAATGGAGACTGTCTTCTTCATATTTTCATTCTAAGGCTTTGTATGACATATGACAAATAATCAATGCTTTATGAATGAATGACCAATGCTCATATACCAATCACATGGTGTTTTATGACTCAACTCAAAATTCATTCACCTATATTACAACTTTCCTAATTAGGGCATGTTCTCATACATGAGGATATCATATTTGCTTTATACAACATATGAGAACTTTACTTTCAACGTGAATCATCAGTGATAAGAGGAATGAATATAAAGTCAATAAAAAATGAAGAAAGACAGATTAGAAATAAAAATCAAATAATAATCTTCCTGCCTCAGCCTCCAGAGTAGCTGGGACTACAGGAGTAAGCCACCACACTCAGAAGCGTTTTTATTTTAAGACTTGGTTTATATATATCTTAATCTCATAAAGAATGTAATGGCTACTTAGCATTAAGTTTCACCTCAGTATACATTTTTCTTTTATTCTATATTACAAAGATTTTTAAAAAAATAAATCATGTAATTATTAATATAAATATTTCCCAATAAGAAATTATACTTAGTCCTCTATGGTAATTGAAGCAATGAAGCCAACATTACAATTTTACCTGAAAAAAAATGAGACGATGCACACATAAAATGATACTCTATTAGTATGTTCTCATTGCATCTTCAGAAGGAAAGGTTCGAAGAGAAAAGTAAGCAATATAAAGTAAAACAAATGCTGTTCCCAAAAAAGAATTTGGATTAATAGAATATACATTTTTGCTGATACATATGTATATAAGATAAATTGCTAATGATTAGAAGAGTCATCTTATCTATTATGTTAAGAAAATATGTACCTTATAAAAACTAAGGCACAAAATGAGTGATTAAAATTTAAGCTGAATCATTTATTTATTTATAATTTTCTTTTTCCTTTTTTTTTTGCAGTTTTTAGTCAGGGCTGGGTTTGAACCCTCCACCTCTGGCATATGTGGCCAGCGCTCTACTCCTTTGAGCCACAGGTGCCGCCCTATAATTTTCTTTTGTAAAGAGGGAGGGTCTTCCTTTATCACCCAGGCTGGAAAACAGTGGCGCATACACAGATCACTTACTGCTCAAGCAACCTTCCCATCTCAGGCTCCCCAGTAGCTAGGACTACAAACCTGCACCACCACAGCCAGATAATTTATTTTTGGTTTCATAAAGACCAGGTCTTGCTATGTTGCCCAGGCTGGTCTTGATGCTGTGCCTTAAGTAATCCTCCTGCCTCAGCCTCCCAAATAGGTATAAGCAACTGTGCTTGGGCTGTAAGCTGAATTTTATTGGTGCTATCTACCCATCTTTATCACAAACTGTACCTAGGGATCTTTTGTTCTCAAACACATTGCAGGGTGGGGCCTGTGGCTCGCAGGGGTGGGGTGTTGGCCCCATATGCTGGAGGTGGTGGGTTAAAACCCAGCCTCGGCCAAAAACTGCAAAAAAAAGAAAAAAAGAAAAAGAAAAAACCAAAAATGTATTGCAAAGAGAGCATGGAGCTCAAGAATACAAAAGATGCAACATGGAAGGTATAGTAAATCAAGTAGTACTTCTACAGCAAATGCTATCAATTTCTTTTTTAGAAACATATAAAACTTCCTGGAAAGCTTTTTATTTCTAGGTTTATTATTTAAATTTGATAGTATCTACAACTTTATCCATTGTCTATTGATTATACTCTAGTACTCCTTATCATGGAAAAAAAAGTACTGTAATACTTAAAAGATCAAAACAAAGTAAAATAAAGCAAAGTCAAATTTAGAAACAAAACTATCTCATTGATTGATACCTACCTCCTGGAAATGCCATTAGCCAGACATTTTTGGCTACGGGATTTGGAAGAGAGGGGTGATGAAGTTGGGGACAAGTTGAGAGGGGCAATCAAACTGTTGATGATCTCAGTCAACTGTGCACTCTGCAAGGAAACAGTCAACCTTTTACTACTGCTAAGCAAGTAATGTGAGTAAACGCTCAGTCCTATAGTTCCTATTAAATGTTTAACTTCTCACAAAACATGTAAATGCTTTTATTTTAGTACATACGTTAGTATACATAGAAGATTTATACAACTGATTTTTCCATTTATCATAAGCAAATCTACAATTTAAGTATTCATCCTTTTCCATGTCCTTTTTTATTACGGTTTCTTTAGCTACCCATCCCATCCTCTAAGACATTGGAATGGAGCAAATAGCATCTATGTATTTCCCTTGAGGCAGCCTATTTAATAATTTAAAAAAATAGCTATAATTTATTATGTGCTAGGCATTACACTGTGCACTCAAGAGTATTTCTAATCTGCAAAACTAACCTGCAACGTAGATAATATTATAGCTACTGATATCACAATTATTAATACCAATTATTGATGAGTAAATTAAGCAAAGAAAGATTAAGTACTTTGATCAAAGGTTATATAGCTGGTAAGAAATGGATGCAGGATTCAAATTCAGTGTTAGTAATTTAACACTACACTGTTTCTCAATTGTTTTCCTAATTCAAAAATACCAAAGGTTTTTTGGCACTTAAGATTTCATTAACCCTTATCTCAAACTTAAATATAGTGTGGACATAAAGTTCGTGTGCAATTTACTCTGTTAAACTATTATAAATTGCACACAAAGTTTATGTCTACCCTATATACATAATAAATATTATTCTCAAAACAGTAACAATTATATTGGCTGGGCGCCCGTAACACAGTGATTACAGTGCCGGCCACAGTACCTAGGCTGGTGAGTTCGAACCCAGCCCCAGACCTGCTAAACAACAACAACAACAATGACAACTGCAACAACAAAATAGCCACGTGTTGTGGCAGGTGCCTGTAGTCCCAGCCTTGGGAGGCTGAGGCAAGAGACTCACTTGAGCCCAAGAGTTCAAGGTTGCTGTGAGCTGTGAAGCCACAGTACTCTAAGGAGGGTGACATAGTGAGACTCTGTCTCAAACAAACAAACAAACAAAAAATAACAATTATAATAAATAAAGGCCACATAAATGGAAATAGTACATTTCTACAAAGGAATGACGACTATTTTAATTATAGATGTAACCCATGTTCATCGCAGAAAAATTAAAAATTATATAGACATTTAGAAAATTAAAAGAAAGTCAACTATAATCATACTTCTAAGAAAAAACCATGGTCAATATTTTATATATTTCTCCATCTAGATTAAGTTTTCCGAGTGTATGTGAGCATGAGTATAACATGTATACACATACTTTTAATTAGATCATACCACATCCATTTTCTAAAACTTGGTTTTTTCATTAATATAGTGACTATATTTTTAAAAAATATATAGACATTTCACCATTTTCATTGGCTATAAGATAGTCTATTATAAAATATATTCTATTATAAAATAAAGAGGTATGTGAAATATTAAATAATTATTTTGAAACTCTTCACTTGTATAAAACTAATAACATGCTATTAGAAATAATGAGACTAAATACCATAGACTTAAGTCTGTTATTTTATTCCTTCATAAAGTCTTTCATAAGAAAGACTCTGAAATGTTTCCACCATTTATTGTCTTGAGAGATAATATGCACCTAAGGACTTCATTTTAAAATTACTCAAATTTTTTTAGATTAAAGATGATTTTAAAAATCATCAATACAAACTGATTCTTTATTTAGCAACTGTTTCTTAGTTTAATTATGCATTTAACATTTATTAAGTATCTCATATTTTTTAGTCTGAAACAATGAAAACTCTTATTTTTTGTTCCACCTCAATAAACATTATCTAAAATCTTTTAAGTCACTAGAGGTTGCTGGCAGTTATTTTTGAATAACTGGCCCAAAAGGAGAACACTACAACCCCTGGATTCAGCCTAACGACCAGCCTTCTATGGCCCAATAAAATCTTATATCCCTGTATCTGAATGTGGGACAGGAAATTCAAATAAGAAAAGTAAAATTAAGAGAAGCATAATTTGAATTCAGAAAACAAAAACTAATCAATTTTAAGTCAAAATACTAGCTATCTGTAATAAGGTTTCTAAATTAAATATAATAGCAGTGAAATTTATCTTAAATCATCCAATACACTAAAAATAAGACATTTTTAAATTTATGAACAAAAATACTATCTAACAATGAAGCATGTATTAGTATAATCAATAAGTTTTTTTTAAAAATGTCAATAGCCTACAACTCAGTAATGCCTTTCTATTGTAATTTCTAACTCCAACAAAACTAAGTCAAATGATTACAAGTGAGCAGTTATATATCAATAGATTACCTTAAGAAAGCTATATGCAATAATGGGCTTGCCACCCTCATCAATAAACTCAGTCTTCTTCTACAAGTATCTAAGAACAACTTAAATTAAAAAAAATTGGCCTGTAAAAGCATTATTGCCACATATGGCAAGAGCAAATGACTAGTTCATAGGCAATTTATTAAAAATCTCTACAGGTGATCGTTGCTGCCCCTTTCTGCGTCTTTCTCTTCTACTCCCCTATGTTGAGCCATTATTGACGTTGTCACAATTCCTATTCCTTTCCTACACTACCAAAGCCTCTGACATTCCCATCAGTAATGAGACCTACAGTGGTAACGAGGGCCAGCTTCACTGGTATGCAACCTGTGCATAGGGCTGCAGTGGAACAGTCCTAAACTTGCTTAGTGCTTTGCTGTCATTGTGTTTAAATTCTTAATTATTGTCTTTAAGAAAGGGGTTGGCAATTTCACTTTGCTCTGGGCTCCACAGATTAGACAGTTCTGATATTATCTCAGGTCCTTGGGTTTACTACAGACAATGAAAAACATGTAAGAAATCTCTTTTGAAACTGAAAATCCCTCTGGAATTGTACTGTATTAAGAATTACTGTAATCAGTTTACATTTTTCAATGAATAAGTAGTGACCTGTAGGTAAAGAAAGGAGATTCGATTGAATAAGCAAATAAATTACCCTGGATTGTGAAACAACGAGGGTCAAACTGAAAAAGGATTAGTCCTATGCGTTAAGAGGAGAGAAAAGAAAGAGGTATGTGGGAATATGAGAATATAACCAAACCTAATTTAAAATATCACTTATATAGTAAAGTGCATTACAATTTAACATCAGATAATTATCAAATAATTTTCTGAATTACAAAATATTCATAGAAGTGTTTTGATTATATATTCCAATTAAGGAAAACTAGGTAATTACTGTTTTAATAAATAAGGAATGGAAGAAATGATACCATATTTTGTTGTATTTAATTATTTCTTGGTATGACAGAAAAACCCAGGAAAATTAGATACAGGGATCCACAAATTTTTATCATTTCCCACAGCATCAGTGTAATCATGCAAATATCATCAAGAATGGCTATGCTCTGGCAGATTCAGTGTAGTTACAATAACAACCTCCTAGTAAGCCAGGTTTATTCAAGAGCCACCAAAATCTCAATCAAAATAACTGACTGATTTCAGAGGATAGATATAAGACAGATAGGACAGAATAATTAAACTTGAGGAGTTATCTGCACCACAGAGGACTTTGGAATCAAAGTAACTGTTCTGTGCTTCTTTGACTTTCCATTTATGTAATCATTTTTCATGAAGAAATCCATATTCCAATATTATCTTTTACTAAAAACCCAATCAATAAACTTGTCAAACAACTATTTGGATTTAATAATTGGTACCAATGTTCTTTCCCCTTGAAAAAAGTCCAAGGATGGCCAATTTTGTTAGAAAAAAAGATTTTCCAATCCTAGTATAAATGATTATCACCCTGCACATTACATATTATACCCACAATTTTAGTTAAGGAATTTTATAATAAACACCAGTCATACACCAAGTATTTTAATTGCATTTAACCTTAAACGGCCAACTTCAGTAATGCAAATCCTAGGTAGACACACACATAATGATGTTTATTTGAATACCTTTAAAATCAATGAAAAATCATTTCATTATGCTGACACCCTACTCTGACTTTACCTGTTTTTCTATGTTTCGAAGAAGTAAAGTAGGGCTGCTTGGTGACATTTCAAAATCTTGTTCTGGTAAAGGATCTTGACACTCTCGGGGAACCTGAGGATTCCCTGTAGTGTTTAACGAAGCTGCTTGGTCTGCAAATTGTATTTGTTTTTTCAAAATGTCTTTTGGAAGTTGGCATTCTTCTAGGATCACTATCCCCTAGACAAACAGCAATGAGAGAGTTGAAATCAAAACAAATTGATTACTAAATCACCACTGATACCACAGGCATTTGAAATTCTGCTTCTTATTATCTCTTGAGAATCAGAAAACATAAACGTGGAAGTCCAGTTTAACTCTGTAAAGACTTGGGCTGATTGAAAACATGTACTGTTAAAATAACATGTAAAATTAATGGGTTGGGCTTGTAAAATATTAACTTATATATATGCAAGTTCTTTTTTCTAATTGGTTTTAAACCAAAGACTTTTAATTATTTTATTAGCATTAAAAACATAACAATTTAAAATAAAATTAAAGGTTTTTTACACTCAGAATATGGAGATTTTACACCGAAACCCAGAATATTTCCTAATAGAATCTTTTGATATATTGGTTACCAGCATTTCTATTTGAGTTTTATAATTGAGAACCCCCCATTTTATAAATTAAAATACCAAATTTAGAAATATCCAGACAATACTCTAACTCTATACTAACTCCTTTCGGAGTACCCTAAGGAACTCTGCCCCTGTTGCTGCCAGCCAACAGTCATGGACAGGACTACAGCACTGAGCAGAAGTATTATCTAAGCCAATCAAAGTCCCTGATATGCACAGGGTAGTTGTGTTAATAATGAAGACACAAGCTTTCAACTTTAATGGGATATTTTCTGAAATGGAAGAAACTGGCAGAACTAGTTAGTGGAGAACTAGCTGCCTCTGTAGTCCCTACTTCCTACTCACACACATACTTATTCTTCAACTTATTTGCTGAGCTTTCTCCTATACTCCTCAGTTCATTCCAACCGTTCTGAACTTTAGGTTCCTTGGAAGCATTGGAGACAGGAGAGAAAGGGAGAAAAGGAGTGCAAAGACATCATCTTAATGGTTTCATAGTCAGTTCTCACCCTAAAACTTCCCTTCTTACCTGTTTACCAGCCTTCTCCCCAAAAAGAAAGAATATAGTTTCTTTTATACACACACACACACACACACACACACACACGCATATAAATATTTTTAAAATTCTAATAAATTCCTATAGGCTAATTAGAAAAGTATTAAACTCTTAATGTCAATAAAATATTGTATTCTTGTAATGAAAAGACTAAAATATTTATATTAGTGTATATTAGTTTAAGACTAAATAAATTAAATGACTGCTATGAGCTAGCCTACATTATAGTATATGTAAGTCCTATTTATTAGATAGAACTTGCCTATAGATGGTAATATGTTACACATACATGAGGTTTAGTTTATGTAATTTTAGAATGGACATATTCAGTTATGGTGTTAAACATATATTTTTGGTAAAAAATAGCAAATGCACTATTATTTTTTAAATTTATTTACTTATATTTTGAGTGACAGAATGGTTTATGCAGCAGGGACAAAGACTAATAAGCATGATAAGCAAAAGCGGGCAAACAGAAAAAGGGGAACAGAACCCCTGGCAGTGAAGGTGGGGAGATCCAAGTGGGAAGCCCTTCTGTTTTTTAAATTTAAATTTATATTTAGAATATTGCTAGTCTGCTGACTTTTCCAAAGACAAGGCGATCTAATTGTTGATCCCAATGACTATTTTCTTAGAATGCACAAATATTGTCAGGAAATCTGAAGAAACATATTTAAAAGAAGTTCTTATTTGAGTTGGTATTTTAAAAATCAATCATCAATCTCTAAGGTGCTTATAAGTATCGAAATTTCTGAAAGTTTCCCACTAGGTTTTTCACAAGTATCTTTACACAAAAGAAACACAAGTTTTCACCATAACAACTTAGTTGCAATTATCTTTGATTTAATTACAGTTTACATTATGAGTCAGTACACTGTAGATTAGCTTGATTTATAATAACCCTTACTTATAAAATTGCTTCTATAGGGCAGCGCCTGTGGCTCAAAGGAGTAGGGCGTCGGCCCCATATGCCAGAGGTGGTGGGTTCAAACCCATCTCCAGCCAAAAACTGCAAAAGAAAAAAAATTTGCTTCGATGGAAAATTCTATTCTAATTTCAAAGCTCAATTTCTAAACCTTTTGAGTATTACGTAAGTAGGCAACCTGCTATAGTTACCTCAATAAAGAATGATATTTTTAGAATTCAATCAGGGATACATTCATAGTCTACTTCATAATATATTTTTTCCCTTAAACTATCACCTTGGACAAAACTCTTAAGAGTGTGGGAAGAGTGGCCCATGATGATCCTCTATAGCCAAGAACAGAAATGAAAAGGATAAAGATTAAATCCTGTATGGATACACAGAGTTAGTTTCTGTTCTTAAAAAGTTAGTAAAAGAATAGTCAAATGATACCTAAAACAAAGTGGATAACAAGAAACTTTTCTGGCAAAAACGAATTACAATAACTGTGACAAGTAAAAACTCTAGCATAAGATAAAGCAAATGAACTGCTCCAGAGAAGACAACTGTCCCTATAACAACACTGGAGAGGTCTCTTACTCTAACCCTCAGAGAAACAGTGTGTGAAAAAATAAACAACTGCCTCAGCAACATCTTCATTGTTCACAGAAAGTAACCAAAGATAATTTTAAGCAAACATTTAAATAAATTAAAAACACATAAAAGGTACAATTTAAAATGTAGATGATCTATTAAATGTAACAAAATAAACCTAAGAAGGATATATAGTCAGTGTTCTCCCAAGAAAAACTATCAATTTTTTTTCTGAAAGTGAGAAGAATTTATTTCATTAGTGGAACGAAACTTGGAAAACGGGAAATGTGGGAATTTGTAATTTGTTGACAAAGCTGTTGTAAAAACCAAAGGATGTTGTTAATAACTGCTTTCTTCTCCTCTCTAAAACTGAAGCAAAATTTAGACCATTTGAAGTGGCAAGTGATAGTTTAAAGCAGGTATCCTCAAACTACGGCCCGCGGGCCACATGCAACCCGCTGAGGACATTGATCTGGCCCGTCAGGTTTTGCTGCTGCTGCCTGACCTGCCTAGGAGCCTACTGGTCCCGGGGCCTGCAGTCTGGCCCTCCTACGGTCTGAGAGACAGTGAACTGGCCCCCTGTTTAAAAAGTTTGAGGACTCCTGGTTTAAAGACTAAAACTTGTAGATCTACTACTCAGTGCATGTTTCCTGACCTGAAGCACAAATTAGCACTTACTTAAATAGGATATTTACAAAATACAATCTCTCAATCTCTTTCCCTTCCCTTTATCTCTAACTTAACTAAAGAGACATTTTTTTTTTCCTTTCAAAAAACATGGAACAGAAAGTTCTATCTCCCTCATGGTAGTATTAGCTATTCTTCTCAATTTTTTTCTTATAACTTAAGAATCTATAAGAGCAAACAAAGTGATGGCCCTATTCAGTGTAAGAGCTGAACTCAACTGCATATAAATAAACAATTAGACGTCTTGATCAATTCCTAAGAAATGTAAGGAGACACTACTAAAATAAGGAAAGGAAACATTATATTCTGAGAGCATAGTTGTATGTCATTTTCTATAAACTAAACATAATGTCATTCCTTAAGAGAACAAAGAGCCAGCTACACAACTAGCCTGAACCAATTTGTAAAAACACGTGAATGATTACTGAGTTTAGATGTCTGTCTTTCCTTAAAACAGTTTATTCTAATAGCTATTATATAAACATGAAATCAAACTTTTTAAAAAGTTTAATCAAATATATAGTGTTGCTTATAATGTATAGAACATGAAATAGCCTTTTTCAGGTCAAAGGATTATGAATCAGATTGCCTAGATTCAAATATAAAACTCAATGATCAATTTAACTGGGAACCCACTTTCTTGGAAATTTCCAAGTTTTTTTATACTTGATTCATTCTTAAAACTCTACTTGCTATTTTTAAAAGTGTGTGAGAGAAAAATGAGAAAGAAGTAATTATAGTAATTTAATATTAAACTTCCATCAGAAAACTATTCTTGAACATGGTTCCCACAATCTAACAGACACAACTCATAAGCCTAAGGTTTTATGTCTGTCCTTTTACCTCCTTCCTATAGACACCACCACTAATTCCTGCAAGGCATTATAAATAATATTCATCACTTCCTAGCTTCTTCTCTTGTTCTTCTACTAATCATATTTTCTGCTCCCTTGTTCTTAAGCATCCCAACCTATACAACCTTGTGCTCCCTCGAATACCATGCTACTGTGTCTACCCTGAAACTGATTATGTTGTTTCATGCCTTCAAACTCTTAAGGAATACCTTTCTAGTTCCATTGGTTCATTAAAAAAGTTACTATTTATCATCCAAAGTCATACTGAGATGCTACCTCTTTCCCTTGATATTTTCTCTGATCCTCTTATCCTTAAGTATTCTCTCTAGGCTACTTTCACATCTTATTAAAAATATGTATTACTGGATTTATTGCATTATATAGCAGCCATTACATGTTTAATCTCTCTTGCCAGAATATAAATTCATGATAGACAGAGCCTAAAATTTATCAATCTTTGTTGATATGCAGGCCCTAGATGGGGGTAGGCTAAGCACATGGTTCAAGGACTCTGATCCCTTTCTTTCTCAGCTGTTTCTTTCAGACCAATTTCTATTAACCTTACAATATTATGTTAACTACATTATTATCATCTACAATAAAGTTTCCCACAAAAAGAAAGTTACAAAGAGATGTTTAGCAATATTTATATTAAATAAAGCTTCGAGGAATTGCATGAGATCTCTTTGTATTATTGCTTCTATGGGAAAATATACTTTGAGTTTCAAGCAGCTCATAATTTTCAGTTGACAAGAGATTTTTCGTAAGGGAAATATGAAGATAACATTTTCCTGTGTTAGCATTAGAACAGCATTTATGTATGTAATCATTTGCTTAACTTTTATCCCCAGTAGACTGAAAGCCCTGAAATGTACAAACTTTGTGAGTTTTATTTCATTATTGTATACCCTAAGCCTATAAGGCACCTATGTGTGAAGGAAAAGAAGAGAAAAGGTAAAGGAAACAGGAATGGAAGAGGAAAACAAAGAAGGAATGAGGAA